TGTGTGTGTGTGTGTGTGTGTGTGTGTGTGTGTGTGTGTGTGTGAAAGACAGAGAGAGATTCTACTTGTTTTGACTGTGGTAGTGTTTGATGAGGTTCTGCAGCAGGTCCACTCCTCTCTTCGTCTTTATCTCGTTTACCTTAATGAGATACTGAGGCAGAAAAGAGAAACGAGGGGGGAGGCCGTTCAGTGGAAACGACGGTGGGGTTAGAAGGGGAAGACGAGGGGCGGGAGCAGAAGATGAAGTTCGGTTACCTCGCACATGCTCAGTTGGAAGGAGCGCCTCTCCTTCTCGAGCTCCTCGGCAATTTCCCCTCCACTCACCTCGCTCCTAACCATCCCGTACTGCCGCGCCAGCTCCCTCTTCTCCTTCTCCACCTGCTTACTGAACACACACATGTAGACACGCACGCAGTCTGAATTATTAATCTGACAGTTTTACCAGCTCACTCCGGCCGAGAAGCGCTTCTCTAGGTTTTTGAATTATGTAGGGTGTGATTTCTTTTTTACACGCAATAAAACACAACAAGGGCGCCCTAAAAATAGAAGGCAGGAGTGCACTCGGTACGTAAACTCTGTCAGATGAGTTTAACGTGATCGTCACTCACAATCTGCTCTCGTAATCCCTCCAAGCTCTGTCAAAAGGCTTCTTTAGATCCTGCAGAGAGACGGTGGAGGAAACGTGACTTCTAATTAGAATCCAGGTGACCTTTRTGTTACACTTAAACACGTATAAATCAACTCTAGGTGCAGTCCTTACCCCCTTCACCTCCCTCAGGTCTCCTTTAACAATAGAGTCCAGGAAGAAGTTGATGTTGTGGAGCATGCTCTTCAACTGCACACACACAAAAAAAAAAACGTGCAGGTCATCGACTTGGAAACATTGCAGGTTAAAGTAAATAGACATTTAAAAACTTTTCAAAGCAGATGCTTTTGACCTTTGAGACAATGTGTCCCTCACCAGATTTTTCATGGGCGAGATGAGTTCTTTAGAAAAGTCGGCCAGGCGGCAGAAGGCGGAGCAAACCTCCGTCTCTCCGTTGGAGTGACAGTTCACGGCGAGCTTCTCCATGGAGTTGATGTACTGCTCCAGGTGGGACACGTGGTCTGACAAGGAAACGGCGTTTGTTAGGAAAACGGCACGTGTGCCACCGGTGCGTGTGCAGTTCAGTGTCTTCCGTACCTTGGCCTGATGCGTACTTGGCTTTTGCAGCTTTCTTCATCTTCTGTAGCACCATCCGGTCACTGTCTAGAGCCTGATGAAACACAGACAACTGATAGGTGGGTGGACGTCCCATGTGCATGAGGGTGGAGTTTATGTGTTGAGAGGGGCAGTAATTTCCTTGCTGGCTGTGTGACAATTTGAGCAGCTAGTCCCGTGTGTGAACCATCATCTCAAGAAGCTCAGTTTGGACCTGTGTTGTTTTAAACTGAAGGTATTCTTTGATTGGTTAATCTGTATCAATCTGTAGAACTTTAGTTCTTTTTATGTCAAACTCAACGTTTGCTTAAATTTATTGCTTCCTTTGAAGGCTTATATGTCTGAAACACACATAAATTACTTAACATCTAGACTAAACTACGCTGAGAAATGAAGCGATATGTCTGGTTCACACTAAACAGACTCCCAGCAGTAAAGAAAACAATGATTGAAAGTTTTTATTGGGTTGAAGCTGATGTTTATTGTTGTTTTGATCTGTTTATTTTATTGGCTGAACTTTAGGCTTCCTTACAAATAAAGGTTTAAAATTCAAGGTTCTAAATGTTTAAGTTTTATTTGTTTGATTGATTACAGCTGGTAAATGTTAATAATGAATCTTCTTCTTACACCAGAGTTAGTCATGGAGTTCTTCAGGGTTCAGTGCTTGGACCAATTAAGTTTTTAATGTGATACATTTCCATTGTTATGCTGATGATATTCAGTTATATTTATTCATGAAACCTGATGAATCCATCCAGTTACTTAAACTACAAGCAACAGAGGTTGTCGTTTTTTGGACCTGAGCATCGTAGGAATAAACTTTGCAGCCTTTCACTTCCTCTGGATGGCATTAATCTGGCTCCAGTTCTAATGTGTGTGTGTGTGTGTGTGTGTGTGTGTGTGTGTGTGGCATTGTGACTGAGTCCAGTTTCTCTGGGTAAT